ACACACAAAATAAATGAATAAATAAATAATAAAAATAAATAAATAAATAAAAATTAAAAAAAAAAAAAAGAAAATTAGTTATGGCCTGAATATTAGACTATGTCAAGCAATTGTTGCAAGGGGCAATGAAATGTTGAATTTACCTCTTCAAAGTCCTATGTGTTAGGGGTTCGTGAGTTAATATTCACAGGTCAAACCTTATTTTTGTTTAAATTACAAGTCAAAATTGAGGAAATTATAGGACAGGATTGTAATCATTTCTAACTCTGATAGTGTGTACATTAGGGATTTACCGTGCTATTCTGTCTCTATGTTTGTGTGTGTTTGGTAACTCTGTATTTTTTATTTTGTTTGGCAGAACTGGGGATTGAACTCAGACCCTTGCACTTGCCAGGGAAGTGCTTATTCCACTGAGCCATCTCCCCGGCCCCTTGGTAAATTTTTAATAAAAAAATTTTGTAAGAAAGTGACAACAAGGGGCTGGGGAGATGGCTCAGTGGAATAAGTGCTTCCCTGGCAAGCGCAAGGGCCTGAGTTCAATCCCTAGTTCTGCAAAGAAACAAAACAAACAAACAGAAAGTGACAACAGAGAAGGGCAAAAGAGAGCCTCATTCTTGAGAGTCAGAGGACACCTTCAGTATCTGGGCAGAAACCTGAAGGCTGGGGAGGAAGGAGCCTAGGGAAGATGCACGAGGAATCTGCATTCCAGGAAGAGGAAGCATCAAGTTCAGCAAGCTGGAGAGCAGCAGGGTAGCCAGAGCAGAAGGGCCCAGCGTAAAGAGGCGCCGCATCGTACATCTTGCCCCTCTTGGCACCTATGCAGGGGCCAGCAGGAGCTTGGATGGAGTGAAGAAGAGTGGCCCACTGGCCCCAAGCTCTGACCCAGAACTCACTGCAGAAGGCCGCACAGGTGCGCTGGCTCCGGTGGCCGCAGGCCGGCTTGCAGGACACGCAGCTGCTCAGCAAGTCGTCCCAGTACTGTTCTTCGGGACAAAGCCCCATGGCCATTCCTGGCCACAGGCCCTGCAGAGCTGAGAGGTGGGGGCAGTGTGAGGGCAGTTGACAGGCTGGTGGGCACCCAGGTGGCTTCTTCTGCCCACTATCTTTTTTTTTTAAAATTAATTAATTAATTTATTTTTTGTATGTGGCCAGCTCAGCCTACCTGGGGGCAGGGCTGGCTGACATGTGGTACTGGGGGATTGAACCGCGGTCCCTGTGCTTTTAGCTAAGCTTATTCTAAGTAGGTGCTTTAGACCACTGAGCCATCTCACCAGCCCATTCTGCCCACATTCTTGACGCATCCCTTCTTTCTCAGTGGGCAAGAACAGCCAGACAAAGCTGGCTCCAGTCCCCGCTGCACTTACTGCGTGACCCCAAGGAGGCCCCTCACCTCTGCAGCCTCAGTGTTTCCATTCTGGGGGTCTCCAGCTCCTCACATTAGCTTCCTGGTCCTACTCTGCCACCCTTGTCTGCCCCGCCTTGACCTGCCACAGGATCTTTGCATAGGCTACTCCCATCGCACAGACACTCCCTTCTCTGGCCAACCCAGGGGCAAGCTGAGTCCTCCTCATCCTTGTGACCTCCATTCAGACTGCCCTTCCTCAAGGAAGGCTTCAGACTGCCCCCCACTATGCTGAACACCTTCCCCACATTCACAGTGATCGTCTCTCTTTCTTGAGTGTAGCTATCTCCCGCCCTCTGACACTAATGGCGAGGCCTCAGGTGGTGGGGCCTATGCCAACTCTTTGTCCACTGCTGGGTCCTCAGGATCTAGATAGCGTTTAGGAAATACTAGATGCCCATTAAGTGAATGGAGTTTTATTTATTTATTCATTAAACATACTAGAGATTAAAACCAAGGGCTTTATTTTATTTTGGGGGAAACGGTCTCATGAAGTTGCTAAATTGCACAGGTCGGAGTCTAATTTGTGATCCTCCTGTCTCTGCCTCTCAGAGTGCTGGGATTTTAGTTTGTGCCACTGCACCTGGCTAAGTGATAGATTTATAAAGCAGATCTCTCCAAAGCCTAGTCCACAGCACAGACTCAGTACATGTCAACTGCTGCCCATTCCTCATTTAAGGCGTTGGAACACGCACACGACACATGCACTGTGCATAGATGTGCATAGACAGCCTGGAAGTTGCATGTACAGTGCATCTGTGCAGCCCACAGGAAGACCAAAACCATTTTCATTCCCTGGATGATCCCCTGGAGCCACTTCTCATGAGATCCCTCCTCCTGGGGAGAAATACTGTTCTGATATTATCCTGCTATGAGGTTGAGGTCTGAACCCAGGAGACCTCACTCATACTAGGCAAGTGCTCTACCACTGAGGGGCCCCACCATCTCTACTATTCTGATTCTATATCACCATATGCTACTCTTCCCCATTCTGGAGTTTTGTGTCTGGCTGTTTGTTCATATAATCTCTGAGCCTCCCCATGATAATGCTCTCAGCAGTCTATGTCATCGGAAGCTTCTGCTCCCTGAGTGTGTCATTCTCTCTCAGGAATGTCCTGTCTGAATGTCTCCCACCAATGTTGTTTTTAAAAATTTTGTAAGGCAGTTGCTTATTCTTCAACAAGAGCAGGCTGAGAAGGACAGCAGGTCCCTGCTGAACACAGCACCCTAAGCACATGAGCTTATCCCCTTCCTGTTGGCCCCTGCTGCTGAGAGTCAAGTGCACTGGTCCTCAAAGGACAGAAGGTGGAGAAAGTGGCTGCAAGGGCTGAGAGATGGCAGCAGTGTCCTGGAGATTAAAGGGACTGGAGGCTGGACTTGGCTGCAGAGTAGATCTCCCCCTGGGGATATTCAGAGGGGGTTGAGGCTGCTTGGAGCCAAAAGACTCCAGGATGTCTCTAAAATTGGAGGCACTAAGTTCTGGCCAACAATTAGGTATCACCTAGGCATGATGGCACACCCCTGTAATCCCAGCACTCAGGAGGCTAAGGTGAGGATCATGGTGAATTCAAGGCTAGTTTAGGGCACATAGTGGGTTCTTGGTTGCCTGAATTATACAGTGAGACTGGGGCTAAAAAAAAAAAAAAGAAAAACAAATAAACAAACAAAAAATCCAATTAGGGATCAGATGAGAGGTGTAAAGCATGAAAAGACTGGTTTGGAAATTGATATCAAAAGAGCTTTTCTTCAAGCAGAACCCCATTCCCAGGCAGGTGGCAGCTCATTGCTCACCTGAGCATAAGACTGAGGTGCCTCCTGAAGGCACAGCTGAGGCAGCAATGAGGTCTTTAAGGCAATGAAGAGATTAGGTGAGAATCTTCCTCCCGTCAGTCTCCCCACCCCCAACTCACCTGAGGGCTGCCTAGGCCGGCCTGTGACCTATAAATGCTCCTTCCTCTTCACTCCACAATTGATTGGCAACCAGCAGGCACTGTTCTGAGAAAAGGGAACGAAAGACTTTTTTAGTGGGACCTCCAGTGGGAGACTCTCTCAAGGCAATGGCCAAGTCCCTGCCTGATCTCACTGGTGCGGAATGTCTACATCAACACCCCAACCCACTTATCCAAGACTCGCAGTCAGCATCTGAGGGCTGCCCGCTATGGCAGCACGAGGCCTGGCCTAGACGAGAACTCAAGCTACACAAGCAGAAGATGGGCAGATGGAGCCAACAGAGATGATGAGGAAGCAGAAAGGTGAAAAACAGCAGCAATATAAAACAGTTTGCCCTCATGAAAAATAATATTGTACTACTTTCCAAGAAGAATATTCAATTAAGAAATAGAATATTCAATTAGAAATAGAAAATGTAGCCATCAGAACAAAAACGTAGAACGGTAGATATAGAAGATGTAATTGAAGAAATTTCCAAGATGTGAGGTAATAGAATCATTTCACAAGGCTCAAAGGCTGATTATTGATTGGGAGGACATAAATTTCCAGTTGAATGAGATAAAAGTCCCACTGGGGTGGGAGGACACAGACACCAGGAAGAGTAGAAGAGTGGGAAGCTCAAAAATCTGTGCTTCCTGGTAAGCAAGTATGGAGCTGGTGGAAGCCAGAGAAAAGATCTACTTTGGAACTCTGGGTTTGTACAGTGTAGGCCTTGCAGAAAAGCCTGGTATACTGAGGAATTCTGGTGAAGTTCACCCTACAGAACAGCAGTGGATGCCATTCCCAGCTCAGCCCCAGGAAGGCAGCAGTGGGATGTTGCCCCAGTTCCCAGTGCAGCTTGCTGGTACCAGCGTGATCAATAAGTCCTTTGTCCTCCAATACTGGGGTTGTAAGTTCTGGTTTCTGATTGCTGCTTGGATCACTAAGGGGGGAGCCAGTACAAAAGTAGTAACCATACTTTCCATCCCAATGGCTGATGTAGCTTCTGGGAGATATAGGAAACACTACTTTTTAAAAAAATTTATTTGGTATAGGGTCTTGCTACACAGCTCAGACTCATAGTGATCCTCTTGTCTCTGCCTCCCCAGTGCTGGGATTACAGGCATGTGCCACCATGCCTGGTTTTGATGGCTGGCATGATGGCACACATGGTACAAGGGATTGAACATGGGTCTTTGCATTTTCCAGGCAGGTGTTTAGACTGCCAAGCTATCTTCCCAGCCCAAGGAAATACTACTTTTTTTTTTCCCTCTTGGGAAGCAGACATTTAGGGAATCTTTGTCAGGACACTGAATGATCAGAGAGAGAAGAAAAACACAAGTGACCAACACAATAAGAAATCCATATTGCTTAAAGTTAGTTTAAACTAAGTCTGGCGGCGCACACTGGTGAAGGTGAGGCAGGAGGACAGCTGCATGCTCAGGGCCAGCATTGGCTACATAATGACTTCAAGGCTAGCATAGACTACATAGTGAAATCCTGTCCCAGAAAAACTAGTATTTAAAAGTTATAATCCGCTCCAGCCCTTAACAAGCAAGATTCAATCCCACGGAGTGAGGAAATCAGATTTCTAGAGCTATTACAACATAACAGTCAAAATGTTGAGTTCTCAAGAAAATTCCTGTTATGGTTTGTGTCTAGCTATCGCCTCAAAGCTTCATGTATGTCATGGGACAGACTTTTGGAGTTTGTGATTAACTCATGATCCACTGGGATTATGTGTATAAATGCCACTGGGATTATGGGCGTGAGGGCTACCCAACCTGAGACGCATAGCCAGAATGCAACATAAGGGAGACAGACGTGCTCTCTGCAGCCACTGTTGCCACTACTCCTCCCATTGGCTCTTGCTGTTTTGCCACCGTGAACTGCTATCCCGTGCCATGCGCCACTCTGCCTTGGAGCCAACTGATTATGGACTGAAACCTCCACTGACTAGGAGCTAAATAAACTTCTCCTTCCTTCATTTTGAGTGCTAGGTATTTTGTCTTAGCAATGAGAGAAGAGTAACTGAGGCAATTACAAAACCATGTAAAGAAGCTGAAAATATTAGAAACTGGGAAAACAGTACATGAACAAAATGAGAATATAAATAAAAAGCTAGAAGCTGTAAGAAGGAACCAAAATTAGGAAGCAATCAAGAAGTACTTCAGGGGCTGGCCAGATAGCCCAGCAGACTAAAGTGCCTACTTAGGCAGAGCACAGCACCCGGGTTTGATCCCCGGCATATTGTGACAGCCTGTGGGGCACACTGAGACAGGGATTGAGGCTGGGCATGGTGGTGCATGCCTGTAATCCCAACATTTGGGAGGCTGAAAGCAGGAGAATCACTATGAACCCGATCTATGTTGTGAAGATCCTGTACAACCTGTAGACCCTGTCCTAAATTCATAAAAAAGAAGCACTTTAGTAGATTAATGTATATTAGTCTGTGATAAATCCAAACAATGGAATATTATTCAGCATGACAAGCAGCAGAGGGGGCCAGGGATATAGCTCAGCGGTAAAAGTGCCTGCCTGGTAAGCGCAAGGTCTTGAGTTCGATCCCAAAAAGAAAAAAGCAGCAGAGCTGTCAAGTAGTAAGAAAATATGGAGTAACTATTAATCCATATTACTAGGTGACACAAACCAAGCTGAAATGTACTGTGTGGCTCAATTCTACGACAGTCTGGAACAGGCAAAACTATGAAGATCAGTGGTTGGTAACGGTTGGTGCAGGAAGTGAGGAACAGGTGCAGCAGTGAAATTATTTGTACAGTACCATAATGGTGGACATATGCTAGTGTATTTTTGTCCAGTCCCACCCACAGAACATGCACCACAAGAGACAGCCCTAACGCCTGTGGACTTCGGGTAATAATGATATGTCAACGTTGGGCGCATTGACTGTAACCAATATGTCACTCCAGGGCAGGTTGTTGTGTGGGGAAGCCTGTGTGTGCCCAAGGAAGGGCTGGGCTCTGTGGGAACTCTCTGTGCTTTCTGCTCCATTTTTATATAAACCTAATAAGTGCTCTAAAAATATATCTATATTTTTTATTATTATTATTATTATTATTATTATTGAAAAGGAACCAAACAGAAGTTCTGAATCTAAGAAGTCCATTAAAAGGGTTTATCAACAAATCTGAAAAAGCAGAAAAAAGGATCAGGGAATTTAACCAATGAGAAAAAAGAAGCATACCCCTGAAGCTATAAAATATTGCTGAAGGAAACTAAAAGGACCTCAACACATCTTGTATTCACGGGTTTGAGGATTAAATATCATTAAGAGGTCACTACTGTGCAAAGTAATTTACAAAGTTAACATTCTAACAAAAATCTCAAGGATTTTATTTTAAATAATTTTTCCCCTGCGGCCAGCCCAGCCTACCCTGAGGGTGGGACTGGCACAGCATGGGGTGCCAGGGATCAAACTGGGGTCCCTGTGTACTTGCCTAAGCTTGCCTAAGAAGGTGCTTTAGAGTGCTGAGTTATCTGGCCAGCCCACGGATCTCAAAGAAAAAAAGAGATCTTTAGAGTTCAAATGGAATTGCAAGAGGCTTTAAAAAGCCAAAACAATGAAGAGCAAAGTTGGAGGACTCAAACTTCCTGATTGCAAAACTTACTATAAAGCTAAAGTTATCAAAACAACATGGTGTTGTCATAAAGACAGACATACAAGCCCGTGGAATAGAATACCTAGCCTAGAAATAACCTTCACATGTATGATCAGATGAGTTTTGACAATGGTCAAAAGACAGTCTTTTCACCAAATAGAGCTATGGAACTAGACATCCAGATCTTACACCATAAGACAGAAATTAATTCAAAATTGATCAAAGACAGAGGAATGAAAGTACAAACATTTTAGGGTTGGCAAGATAGCTCATCGAACTAAAGTGCCTGCTTAGGCAAGTTTAGGCAAGTGCAGGGACCGTGTGGTTCAATCCCCAGCACCACATGCTGTGCCAAGCCTGCCCCCAGGGAGGGCTGAGCCAGACAGAGTTGGGCGTGGTGGTGTGTGCCTATAATTTCAGTGCTGGGGAGGCTGAAAACAGGAGGATCACTATGAAACAGAGCTGCATATTGAGACCTGCAACAACCAAATACATTTTTTAAAAAAGAAGAAATTACAAACATTTTAAAAAACAAGAAGGAAATTTTCATGCAGCAAATTTGCCAATGACAAAGGCACTGGCAACAAAAGAAAAAAAAACTAGATAAATGACTTTACCAAAATTAAACACTTTTCTGGGACCAGCCAGATAGTTCAGTGGACTAAAAGTTCCTGCTTAGGCAGAGCCCAGCAGCCATCCCCAGGGGCACGCTGAGATTGAGATGAGGCGTTGTGGCGTGCACCTGATCTGTGTAGTGAGAACTTGTACTAAAATATATTTTAAAATATTAAATTTTTTTTGTATCAAAAGACACTATTGAGAGAGTGAAAATATAACTCATAAAATAAGAAGGAATATTGGCAAATTCTATATCAGGTAAGGCCATAATACTCAAATAAAAAAAAAAAAAAAAAAAAAAAAACCTCAGAAACAGAAAATCAAGCAAAAACTGGCAAAAGATTTGAATCATTTCTCCAAATAACACATAGAAAGAAATGTTCAACTTCATTTATCATTAGAAAAAAGTAAGACCACAATGAGACATCATTTCATATTTGTTGAGGTGGAATATTAAAAAATATATAAAAAACACTGGATGTGGAGAAATTTGTGCTTTTTTGTATGTTGCTCTTGAGAATAGATAATGATGCAGCCTCTATGAAAAATGATTGGGCAACTCATTGAAATTAAACTTAGAACTCAGGCAGCCCAGCAGTTCTGTTCTTAGGCAAAAGTCGAAAAGCTCTGACAGCCAGGATATGAACAGACTCCCGCCCACCGATGCTCAGAGCCGCACTGGTCACAGCAGGCACAGGTGGAAGCATCCAGCGGCTGCTCACAGATCAGATAAAGATCTTCTGTGTAAAAAAGAAGAGGATGTGCAAGATGTGCTCTGGGTGTGCAAGGGAATGTTACTCGGTTGTTAAAATGAATGAAGTAGTGACA